GGAGCTTAGTGAAGACAGAGGTGTAGTGGTTGTTTCCCCCATGCAAGTTGGTGAATCCCATGTGTATCATCCACGGACCCCGGATCGGGGTGATCTGTGGACTCCACACCAAGAGCCCCTAGCTTAGATTAATCAAGATTCATACGCTGGGGCTAGGAGCAGGCAAGTCTTCATGGAAACAAATGGCTTCCAACAAGTGTGGATACCTAAGCCACATCAAGACTAAATCAAGCAACACAAGAAGTGGGAGCGGGGAGTGGGTGGGAGTGCAGGGTGGAGGGAGAGCGGGGTGGGAATGGCTCTGAGGTCTGCTGCCCGTCCTATCAAACACTCCTGCAGAAGAACCCTCCTCACCACCGGAGGGAGAGACAGCTCAGTCACCGCATGGTGCACAAAGCAGGATTCCCTCCATATTATTCACTTTTGTTCCTGGTTAGTTTTTGAAAAATAGTTGTATGCATATTAAGTTACAGATGCAACACTTGCCCTTTACAAATGTTCGGCCCACTGGGGTATGTTCCTTCTATTCTACTACTTAGAAGGGACCACAGCTTGGTGGGTGTCTTTTCAGACAACTTGCTGTGCACACAAGGCATCCCAACAGCTCACGAGCCAGCACGCAGGGAAATTTGTGAGCAATGCAGATTCCCAGGAACTGCCCTTCTCCTTGTTGGCGAATGAGGGCAGCTTCAGTGTGTCAAATGCTAAGTTCACAGTGTCCCCTTAAATTCTACCCCCCCCCGCAATGTTTTAAGATTGTCAGAGTTGTTGGGGGAGAGCAGTTGGATAGACTCTCTCCGACTGAAAGTATATAGTCATCTCTCTGGTGCTAGTATCTCCATGCTTTAAGGATTTCCCACACACCCTGAAACACCCCGAGTGTGCAACACAGTTCATAGACCCATATTTGGAGAATCGTTACCTGCAACGGCAAATCATCAGAAATAACTTAGCTGTCCATCAGTAGGTGAGTCCTTAGGGTCATTGTGGTGCCTCCGAGTGGTAGAATGCTCTTTCTGTTAGCAGCAAAACCCAGAGCTGGTAAGAAGCAAGGCCTATGGCATGTGGTTAAGTGAAACCAACACCCACTTTTAGAAAATGTATTGTTATTAATTTTTTTTAGTTATGTGTGTCTGTTTCTTTAAAGGATCATACGGTGCGGTATTTCTCAAACTATCCATTGGCCATATCCATCAGAACCCTGTTGGACATAGATTCCTGGGCTCCACTCTAGAACTGCTGGGTCAGAATCTCCAGGGATATAGCCCCCAAACCCGGGTTGCTCACTAGCTCCCCTGACTCAGATGCCCCGGTTCTGCCAAAGTGTGGGCCTGGGTGGCTCCCGAGTCCCTCTCCCCATCCCCTGGATCAGGCCTCCATCATCCTCTGCCCCCACCTGGTTCCTCATTCAGGTGCTGGGATGATTTTGGAGCTGTGCCTGGACCTGTAGGTCGCTCGTCACATAGCCAGGACTTGCCAGGACAGTCAGTTCTGCCCTGAACCCAGAGGGCCAGCCCCTGGGTTGAAACTCTGACACTCTGTCACCTCCTAAAATGAGGCATCCCTGCCTCACACCCTGAATCCTGGGGTGAAGGACCAAGAGTGGAGGGCGGAAGCCTCATCCCTGTTTTCAGTTACCCCATCCCCACCGTGCACGAGGCAGAAAGGGAAGCTCTGGGCAGGATCAAGAGGGGAGCCCTGAGAGGGTGGGGCTCACACCAGGGTGGCCATGCAGCTAGGGTGGGTGGGGTTTGGGCCAGAAGTCAGGGCCTTGGAGACCAAAGGAGCTGGGGGCTGGAGATGCAAGAGTAAGGGAGCTGAGCCAGAGGTCCCTGGCCAGGGGCCTGCTCTCCCTCCCCATCATGAGAACCACCTGGGGCATTAGCTATTGATGCAGGCAGGGATCTGAAGGCCAAGAGGGGGCCTGGACATCTGACTTTTAAGTACACCAGCCCCCTGTTATTCTTAGGGTGCTGCACAAAGGAGAACGTGGCCTGCCACTAAGCTGGAGGTATCCAGAGGCTTATCTGAGACTTAAGGATAGACCTAGGTATACTTTTAGGAACGGAAGTGCCCTGAGGTCAGCACAACTGGGTTCTGGCTTCCACACATGAATCACAGCAATATTGGGGCACCTGGGTGGCTTAGTCAGTTAAGTGTCTGACTTCGGCTCAGGGCATGATCTCACAGTTTGTGGGTTCGAGCCCTGAGTCAGGCTCTGTGCTGACAGCTCAGAGCCTGGAGCCTGCTTCGGATTCTGTGTCTCCCTCTCTGCCCCTTCTCTGCTCGTGCTGACATTTGGTCTGCACGTCTCTGTTGTCTGTCTCTCAAGAATAAATAATAAACATTAAAAAAATTTTTTAAAGAATCACAGCAACATTAATAGGGAGTCAGAATTTCCTGGGTGCCCCCCCCCCACGGGCACTGTGCTGCAGTTAGGAGCAGCCCATTTCTTTCAACAGATTTATTGAGATATAATTCACATACCATCCAGTTCAGCCATGTATACAATTCAGTGGTTTTCAGTATCTTCACAGAGCTGTGCGTCCGTTGCCACAGTCCATTTTAGAATATTTCAGTCACCCCAAAAAGAACCCCGCACCCATTAGCAGTCACTTCCCGCTCTTCTCTCCGCCTAGCCCTGGCAACCACCAGCCTGCTTTCTGTCCCTACAGATAGTCCTGTTCTGGACATCTCATATAAATGGAATCATACAGTGTGTGACCTTTTGCATCTGGCTGCTTTCACTTAGAATAGTATTTCCAAGGTTCATCTATTGTGTAGCGTGTAGCCCTCCCGTTTATTGCCCAAATAATATTCCATGGTCTGGATACGCCACCTTCTATGTATCTGTTCATCACTTGGTGGGTACGGTGGGTTGTGTCCACTTTTTGGCTGTTATGCCTAATGCTGCTGTAGTATTCCTGCATACGTTTGTGTGTGGCTATGTGTTTTCAGTCCTCTTGGCTATGTACACAGGAGTGGAACTGCTGGGTCATAGAGTAACTCTCTGTTTCACATCCTGAGAAACTGCCTGCCTATTTTCCCAAGGTGCCGCAGAGTACGAGTGTTCACCAACGCTTGTTATTACCTGTCTTTTTGATTCTCGCCCTCCTAGTGTGTGCAAAGTGGTATCTCATGATTTCTATCTATACCTCCTTGGGGGCCTCCCCATTTCACAGAAGAGGCAACTGAGGCTCAGAGAGGTGAAGAGCCTAGCCTGAGATCCTGAGGATGTCCAGCAAGGATGGACAGAGGCAGGATTCTAATCCAGGCACTCCTCTCTCTTGGGCTGTGTTCCCAATGGAGCAAGAAAACTCCCTCCAAGGAGGTGGCGGCTGCTCTGAAGGTGGGGGAGACTGGAGACAGGACCCATGCCCTTGGGGGGTATAAAATGAGATCCTGCAGAATCGAAGGATTTCCCATGGAAAGCCCTTCGCCAGTGTCTGTTGTGGAGTAGGCACTCAGAGTACTGTTATCGTTCTAGCACAAGTCTGTACCCTCCCCCATACCTTTCCAGAGGAACCTGGGCTTGTCAGGACCTGCCTCGCACTTTGGTATTTCTGAAAGGGACCATATTTGTTGAAAAAGGCTGGGCGCTGCTCAGATAGGACCACAGGCCATATAGATCATCCTGCACAGGGATACATGGATTCTGCAACAGGTCCCCAGCCCTGCCTCGTAGCCTGGCTTATCCATGTCCTTAACCGGCGAGCCAGCCAGCCCGCCTCCAACCCACCCTTCCCCACACTTGATTCTCCTCATCTGAAAACTGGGGATACAAACTTCGCTTTGGGGCTGCTGTGGTGATCAGTACAGGGCCTGGGGCACAGTCAGTGCTCAGCCAAGCACTGTTAGGTCCCAGTCCCTGCCCTTGAGAGAGGCTTGCTCTGTCTGGCTGCAGGGGAGCTCGGGGACAGGCTAATGCCCCAGGCTCAGTGTGGGTGGTGCCTGTGGCCCAGCTGGCTGTGAGGGTCTCACCTGAAGGTCCCAGAAGGCCACACCCTCAGGCAGATTCTCAGCAAGACTCTGGCAAATGGGACTCTCCTCTGGCATGAGCCAAGGGGAATCCAAGCCCAGGGCATGATGGGAGAGGTGGTGATATCTGAGGGGGTTCCATGTCTGGCAGAGTAAGAGTCCAATGGCTGGATGACCTTGGGCAAGCCACTTCACCTTCTGATGCTGTTTCCTCAACTGTAATAAGGTGATGGTGATACCTCATGGGAGCAAATGAGATCCCCAAACCTCTGACCCAGCAACCCCATCCCCACCCCAAGAATCCCATGCTCACGTGCACCAGAAGCAGGCGAGAATGCCCATGGCAGTGTGGTTGACAATAGCACCCAGATGGGAACACAGATTTTTGTCAACAGTAGAATGGATAAATAAGTTGTGGGATATCCATGCAGTAATAAAAAGGGGCCAATCACAGATGCCTGCATCACACGGATAACTCACAGAGCGGTACATGCGAGGATGGAAACGATCTGACTCCATGCATCTCTCATCATCAAGTGAGAGAGCAAACCCCACTGTGCTGCTTATACATCTGGGCAGTAAAGCTGTAAAAAGAGCAGGAGAAAAGTGCTCACCTTAAAAGTCAGGGCGGTGCTTACTCTCTAAGGAGGAGACCATTGGGTGTGGCGAGGAGCGGCTGGGCTGGGGGCTTCTGTTCTGGGTGCTGTGGTCTGGTAGGTGGCTCACCCGTCCTTGCTCTATGATGTATTTATTGACCAAACAGTGTAAACGTGACTTAGGCACTCTTCTGTACGTGTGACTGTCTCAGAGTCTAAGAAGAACTCAAGTGCCTGACGGCTGGACTGGAGCTGGACAGAGGCTGGCTTCCTTGGGCCCTTGCCTTGGGCCCCGGCCAGCCCGTGTTCTGCGCTTGGGGGACAGAGGGCAGGAGTGAGAAGTTGCTGGCCAAGCCTGCCCCCCACCTGCCCCTCCCCTGCTGCACTCTCCAGACACAAACTCCCCAGAAAGACACTGCCCAGAAGTTTTGGGGTTTTTTTTAAACCGCTTTATTCAGGTTGGCTGGTAGTCACGGATTGGATCGTGTGAACGGGGTTACCCACACACTCCCCGGGCAGAGCCCTCGGCCCCTCCCATATCCCAACTCCATCGCTGAGGGGCAGCCAGAGGTTTGAGCCAGTTCCCAGGGGGTGTTGGGCCCAATAGAAATATTTACAAATCATCAGGGGGCAGGTGTCCCCCCGATCAGGAATTTTGAGGGGGTTGGTGTGGGGTGATGGGGGGCTTTGGCTCCCAACAGCCCCAGGCCCTTGGGTGGGCGTGGCATGGGCCCCAGGAGGGGGCTGGGACATTGGGAGCTGGCAGAGGGGGGCTCTGGGGAGAGCCTCGAAGACCCTCGAAGGGGTCCTGCTGGTGCACAGCTCTGCATGGGGCCACTGGGTCAGAGGGGAAAGGCCCTCCTTCGGACTTGCCACGTTGAACACGGGCAGATTCCTAGTCCCCCCACCTCTGCAAAAGGTGGGACAGGGAGCTATTTCTTAGGTATAAGGAAGCTGGACAGGAAGGAGCCACCAGGAGGCAGTGAGGTGTCTCCCTCTCCCCTCAGGGTCCCTGTGGGTGACCCTGATCACAGGCCACAGGCTCAGAGCAAGGCTCTCCTGGGGGCTCTGTCCCCAGTTCTTCACCAGGGGAGAGGCCCTAATTCTGCTCAGAAGATTCAAGTCCAAATTCAGGGAGGGGTCACTGTCCACACCCCCAGGTTCAAGCAGGGGATGATGGGGAAGGAGGGTGAATAAGGCTGGGAGGCCCCGGCTCCGGACAGGGTGGGGGACAAGCAAGCAAAGCAAAACACTGGACTCCACTACCGAAGCCGGTGACAGAGCGGCAGCCTGGCCCTGGCACGGTGCCCACCCCGGCGTCCAGGGCGGTCGTCCCCTTGGCGCCTGGGGCCACCTTCTCCGAGCCAGGTCACCGCAGGGGTCTGAAAAGGGAGGGTTGGGCAGGGCTTACATGCTGTGCAAGGGAGTGGTGGGCAGAGGGCCGACGTGGTGGCCACAGGCAGTCTTGGGGATGGGGAGGCGGCTGGACCCGAGCAGTCCCGTCCCCGGGGGTCCGGCGGCTCCTCATGCACTCTGTACAGCGGTAGGGGCGGGGTGGGCGGGTGGCCGAGTGGGCATCAGTCTAGAGGCTGCAGGCCTCCTCATCCAACGAACGCTTCCGCAGCTCCTTGCCGGGTTTTGGGGGCGGTGGGGCGGGCGCGGCAGGCGGGGCCTCGGGCAGGTGTAGGACCGAGTTCTCTCCCGGCTGCACCCGAAGGTAGGCCTTGACCTTGTGGTGCCGGGCCTTGCCGTCGCTGAAGTCGATGACTCGGCACTCGTAGGTGCCTTCGTCCGTGGGCTTCACCCTTGACAGACGCAGTTTGTGGGAGATGTTGCTGCCTGCCACCTTGACCACCTGGGGAGGGGGACAGAGAGACGGTGCCCTGGCCATCAGGTGGCAGCTGAGAAGGCGGGGAGCGCTGGAGCCAGGAGCACACTCACAGCGTGGGGCCCCAGAGACACTCCCACAAGGGCACTGGGGGGCTTGCAGAAGAGGGAGTTAAATAGCAAACTCCCCACCTCTTTTGACCTGCTTGACTCCTGTTCATTTTCAACATCACCTCCTCCAAGAAGCCCTTGATCACAACCCCTTGTTTATCTCCCTCATAACAGTCATTACAGTTTGAGAACCATTTATGTGCTGACTTGACTTTTGTTTCTTTCCCTGGCCAAACGATAAACACCAGGAGGACAGGGACGATACCCATTTTGTTCATCTTAGTGGCCATCCCGGGCCTTGTACTCTGCAAACAACCAACGCTTGTTGAATGAGTGGACTCACGCCAGGTCCTTTCTTCAGGGGAAGTGGTACCCAGCCATTGTGCTTTCTAATTTGAGGTCACATACACACGACTAGACCCACTTTATAGATGGTGAAATGAAGGCTCAGAAAAGAAAAGCAGCTTCCTGTGGGCCCTGCGTCGGCGTGGGGCAGAGCTGGGAGCTAAACCCAGGCCTGACTTCATGCATGCTACCCCTCCCAACGGCGTGGCAGGCCCACCAGTGGCCACCCAGTGCTGGCGGGCCACAGGGGCGCTTCCCAGGCTCCCGAAGGAAAGAGGAGGGGTGGGTAGGCAGCAGCAAGGAGCCCGGCCCATCTGCCCTGGTTCTGAGCCTTCTGGTGGCCATGACCCCCACAAAGCAGGAAGATATGGGCCTCTGGTAGGAGAGGAGGCACGAGATGGGGACCAGGCGGGGCTCCCAGTAGCAGCGGTGAAGCTCTCCCAGCCGCCCCTCTTGCTGTGGGGCTGAGGACCAGCCTCCCCTGCCCAGCTGGAGGCCACCGGCCCTGCCAGCTCCATCACCTCTGACCAAGGGCACAGGGAGGCCCTGTGGCCCGGCCACGCTCTCGGGCGAGTTAGGAGATGCTGTTGCAAATGCGCAGCGGGGAGCGAATTACCTCAACATCTGTTTCCCTCACGGATATTAATTATCCTTCATTTGTCAACCCTACAAGGCGCTAATGGAGTAATAATGCGAAGCGCTGGGAGCAGCCGCTCCTAGGGAGGGAGCTCCAGCCGCAGCCCACCCCTCCCGCCCCTAGACAGCAGGCAAGGCCCGGACCAGCCCTCCCCAGGCAGTCCGCTCCCCGCCCCCCCGACCTTGTACCCCTTCTGCCAGCAGACACGGAGGCCTCTCAGAGAGGAGGAGGAAGTCGAGGAGCACCACCAGGGTGCTGGGAGGCTGCGTCCGACCCCGACCAGTCACCAGCACCCAGGCTCTTGGGGTGATGGATTCATCATGCGTTTGATGGATGTTCAGCAAGAGCCCACTCTGCGCTGGGCGCTGGGGTCACAACTGTGAAGCAGCCAGACCCCTGGCAATGCTGCGCAGGCTCACCGAGAACCCAGACCCCACACGGAACCCCGCACCTCAGGGACAGTCCCACGTGAGCCATGGCTCTCTCCTGCCCTGGGGTCTACCCCTTTAAGCACGATCTGGAGAAGGCAACTAACAAACACCATAACAGCAGGAAGAGTAGGGCCGGCAGCCAGTGTCTACAGAGCACTTGATCGCTGGGAGGTGATGTGCTCACAGCTTCCTGCATCAATTTTAAGCCTTGCAATAAACCCGTGATGTAGGCCCTGCTAGGCTACCCATTGCATGGGTCAGGAAACTGAGACTCAGAGAGTTAAGGTGATTTGCCCAAGGCCATCCAGCTGGTGACAGAGACCAGGCCTTACCCACATCTCTGGTGAGCCTCCCATGACCAGGGAACCACAGGTCTACCTTTTCACCCCTTCCTACCTCCTTCCCTAGGTCCCCAGCCTTTCTTGTCTTGAGGGAGCCCAGTCCATCCTCAGACTGTATCCTATGGGTGGGTGTCCACCGTGCTGCTCCAGCTTCTTGGGGTGGAGGAGGGAGCTTCTTGGATTCCCTCATTCACAAACGGGGCAGAGAACCCTCACACCCAGCCCTCCAGTGAGACTGGAGAGGCCAGCAGGAGAGGAGACCCCCACTCTGGAGCTTGGCTGTAAATCATAATCACCTCAGCGCTAGCATCGACAGGCCTTCGCAGTGCAATTAAGCACCTAATTATGCTGAAAGAGACAAGGCGAGTCCGTGCCATGACCAGGCTCGGCCTCCTTCCTGCTCACCCATGGCCCAGGCATGGCAGGGGCACCCCTGGGCCCTCAGGGCCAGGGTCCTTCTCCAGAGCCACCCAGGAAGAATGAACGGTGCTGATGTATGTCCATGGTGCCAGACCTCTCCTACGTGCAGCCCCATGGCTGAGCCGGAGAGTGACATGGTGGCCCCGGGAAGGTGCTGGGGTGGAGTTCGGGGGTCAGATGGTCCCTGCCCCAGGCCAGGGCCTGCTCTGAGCCCTGCCACTTCCCGTGCTCTATCAGCAGCACCCAGCCGCTTTTCATCAGCCTCTGCTTGTTCAGAATCCAACTCCGGGTCTCCCCGAATCTGGACCCCCGAAGGCCTCACCTGCTCCAGCCAGACCCTCCCATGTCATCCCTGCCTTTGCTCCTTCTGCCCTCCACATAATCAATCCCAGAATCCCATCCATCTTTGCTCTGAACAGCACTGGGCCCCTCCCCTCCTCTCCGGAGCCCAGCCCCCTTGCACTGGCCAGGGTCCCAGCTTCTCTCATCTGGTCATCATCCCAGCCTCCTCCCAGGTCTCTCCAAAGCCACTGAGCCTCCCCACCCAATCTGTTCCCATGACAGCCAGCCAGATCTTCACACAGCGTCCCCAACTTAGGGCCCTTCCATCAGTGGCTCCCGGCAGTGGCTGGCCAGGTCCCTCGGGGTCTCACCCCCACCTGCACCTTGGCCAAACCAGCCTCCTGCAGTCCTCCAACATACACACCCAGCCAAGATCCCCCGCTCCTAGTCCTCATCACCTCTGTACTTCAGTGCTTACTTCAAATAGCACCTCTTCCAGGAAGCCCTCTGGAACCTCCAGATTAGGCCAAGTCCTCTGTTACTGGCTCAGACCCCCGGGCAGCTCTCCTCATTTTGGTGGTCACAGTTGTAATTTTACTTTTTATCAAGTGTGATGATCAGATTAACATCCATCTCCCACACTGGCCTGGGAGCACCTGAGGACAGGGACTGGGTGTGTGTGACCATGCATCTTTGAGGCCCCCACCATGCTATGGATGTTTCAGGCACTCCCAAGATGGATGAAGTGATTTTGGCTCCACGTGCATCTGGCCTCCCTGGAGGGCCTCAGGACTTAGTGCTCTGTGTACATCGTAGATCACTGCAGGAATTTAAGATAGAAGCATCCCCAGCAGAAAATAAAAATTGTAGTCAACCATGAGCCACCACTTGGCCTGTTGATCCTTTGTGAAGGAGGCAGATGTCGGGCGCTCCTCAGGCTGTGGCAGCCCTCCACCGGAAACTCCAGTGTCCACATGCACGCACACCTGCGGATCAGCGGGCGGCGTTCCCAGGGGCTGGACCCATGCGGCCACTTGATCTGACAAAGGCCCCTGTCTTTTAACCATTCGTGGAGGTTTCATGGAGGTTCCAGAGGGAGGCTGCAGCAGCTTCCTGAGGCCTCTTCAGGGCCGCACCTGGCTTTTAGGGCTTGGTTGGAGGAGATGTAGGCTTTCGGATGAGTAGGCCTGGGCCACATGCACATGGGGACCCAGGTGGCCCAGGGTTCTTTCCCACTAACACAATTAACAAGATGAAGGCAGGGAAGACCCCAGGCAAAGAATTTAGTGTGTGTGTGTGTGGGGGAGGGGTTCAGCTTGTCTTAAAATTAGGAGGTTGGGACCAACTCTATTTGCAAAACTGGTTAAGGGGAAATCAGCCTAAACTCTAAAAGAAAGAACTTTCCATGAGGCCAAAAGAAGAACTTCCAGAACTTGAAAACAGCCAATTTGCCTGAGCCACAGAAATGAGGCCCTGAAGGTAACATCCTTAGCATCTGCAAGCTACCCAGGGAGATGTTTTTAGGCCAGAGGTCTTTCCCCAGGCCCCAAGTTAAATGAGATAATTGACGGGAAGCAAGGCGCTCATCATGGTTTCCGGCATATGGCGGGCACTCAATAAATGTTAGCTGCTTTATTATCATTACTGTTTTCTCACAGATGCCTGTCCTCCTACATAACTGATCTCCCTACATGATCCGGAGCTCTTTCGTTCCCTCCCCTGTCCCTGCACAGGAGCTGGGCCCCCTTTCATGTTCCAGCCACCCCCCTGCATGATGGGAAGAGGAGTCTAATGATCACACATTCACGGAATGTTTCCAATCTACTAAACCACTCTCATTCACATGGCCAATCTCTAGGACTTCACAGTTTACAGAGTTACAGGGATGCCAGGTGCAGGCCCCGCTGTGTCCTCAGCACAGTTGATCCTGAACCTTCCCAGGGTTACCAGGGCAGCCCCAACAGGTCACTGAGCCCTCCGGCATCAGGCCTGTGGAAGCTGATGGGACCTCCTCTCCCAGAACCTGAGACCCCACAGTGCCCACACTGCCCAGCCAGGACACCACTCTGTTTAGCTCCCACACACGTGGTTTTCAAATTAGGTCCCAAAAGTTAAAAATCAGGAGCTGCCCCAGTTGGTTGAGCATCTGACTCTGGCTCAGGGCATGATCTCACAGGTTGTGAGTTCAAGCCCCATGTCGGGCTCTGTGCTGACAGCTCAGAGTCTGAAGCCTACTTTGGATTCTGTGTCTTCTGTGTCTCCGTCTCTCTCTCTCTCTCTTTCTCTCTCTGCCCCTACCCAGCTTGTGCTCTCTCTCTTTCTCTCAAAAATAAATAAATAAACTTAAAAAAAAATTAAAAATTAAAAAAACAGCATGGGGTACCAGGCTGAGCTCCTGCCCGGCTCATTTGGTTCCTCCAGACACAGGGCCTGGGTTCCAGGCTCCACGGCCCCATAGGAGCCACTTTGTGCCTTTGCATCACCTGTACATGTACAGGCAGGGATGCACATCATGTTGGCCTGTCCTTGCATGAGAATCTGTGTCTGGGTTTATATCACTGTTGGCCTGGGTGTGTCTGGATATGTCATTCAGTTATTTATTGGGCACCTACTATGTACGAGGCACTGTACTAGGCTCTGGAAGTGTACCAAGCTCATCAGGCAGGCACAGTCCCAGCCCCACTGCCTCTAGGGGTGTTGGGGGTGGGAGGAGACATGAAACAGATACACACATGGGTGATTGCAGATGGAAACGCGGCCAGGAGGGGGAAGGGGTGCCAGCTGAGCCCCAGGGTCAAGGGAGGCATCCTGAGCTGAGCTCTGAAGGAAGAGAGAGGAGCAGTTTTCTGGGCAGAGGAAGGGGCCCACGCAAAGGCCAGGAGGTGAGAAGGAATGGGAAGGCAGCAAAGCAGCCAGTGGGGAGGGGAAGGGGAAGCCAGGTCATGCAAGATGAGACGGTGCCAAGGGTGAGAAGAGCGAGTCAAGCAGAGCCCTGAAGGCCGAGGAGACACGTCTGAGCCTTCGGGACTGCGGGAAACCAGGGTGTGCGTGTGCTCTCAGGTGTCGGCTAACTCCGTGCCTGGGTATTTAAGAGCTGTCATGTACAAGGAGGTGGTCTGTGCCTCTCTGTGAGGTTCCTAACCAGACCCCCAGAGCCCCAGCTGGAGCAGGAATCACAGGGGCTGGGGATGGGGAGTGATTGCACAATCACGCTGAGCACATTTATTTTATTTAACTAATTAGCAGCTTCGCATTCCCCTCACGTGGGGCCTAGCAGCTACGAATTCTAATCCTCTAAGTCAATTAGATTATTCTTCCCTTTGCCTGAGACACTCCTTAAACCCCAAACAAAATCATAGCAGAGAGAGTTGCAGGTATGTTAAAATATACACAGGTCTCCACCTGGCCAGGCTTAACGGGTGGGTGTTTGGGCAAGACACGGGCATTGCCTATGGAGAGGGTGAGGGGCACGGGTGCAGGAAGGGCTATAGCTGTCCTCACCTGGAAGCGGCTTGAATTTCCAGACCCCAACTGTGCAGACCGCACAAATGTTGCTTTAAAGGCCCTTGTTCTCTCAGACGTCCACCTCTTGCTAGAGTGGCTGTGAGACCCTCTTCCCCGGCCTCCCTGCCTCTGCTCTGCCGTCTTCAATGTCCAGCATGCCCCGCCCCCCATGCCTGCTGGCGCCCACTCTTTACGCTGTGCCTTCTGCTCTGGGGCAAGGCTCCGCAGCACATCTGTGTCTCATTGGCCATGGGGTCCAGAGCTCCCCCACAAACCCTTGAAAAGTGGTGGAAGAACCAATAGAAAAGAGGGAATTTGGAGGTCACTCCACCCCCCCACATACACACTCCTACTCTGGGGGCACCTACATTTCTAATGTTTCTAGTGGATCTACTATCTCCTGCTAGGCTGATCTGAGCCAGCCAAGCCCACGGTCACACATATCCCCAGGCCTGTCCCCATCCTCAGCATGCTTTTCTCTTTCCCCTCCTTTCTCAATCACGCCTGCCTCTTCCAGACCTGGCTGGGGAAGTCCCTTCTCCACAAAAACTGTCACTCCCTGAGGCCCCTGGGTCCCCAGATGAGGCCCCAGCAGAGTCTGGAGACAAGGAGCTCAGGCCCTGAAGACAGGCAGCTCAGCCACATCATGACCACCAGCAGATCTTTGACCCCTCTAAGCCTCAGCTACCCTACCTGTAAAATGGGCAAATGCTTGGCCATTCCCTATGCAGCTGTAGCACTGATAAAAGGAGCCCATGCATAAAAGGGCCTGGCCAGTCTTGAAATCTTTCAGCTGTAGTTTACCGTCCCCCACCCCCACCCCACCCCGGGGGCCAGGCTGACCCAAGTGACCGTGACATGCCACCACAGTCGGTCGTGATGGGCTGAAAAAAGCCAGCTTAGTCTCATTAGACCCTGTTGGTTTCCCAAATAAAAAATGCTGCTGAGACAGACACAAAGCATCTGGGATGCACACAGCCTTGGCCCCGACAGGAGGGAATGCGTCTTCTCTCCTCGTCATTTTTTGTGCCTGTCATTCAATGAACTTGAAAGATCTGCGTCTTTTAAAAACCAGAACGAGGCCATTTTTCCCCCTTTCTTTTTTCTTCTCCTCCATCTTCGTGCCCAAGCTCCGAGCTGAACTGGACCCTTCCTTTTTTTTTAAATTACAGCTGTGTCCTCCATTAGAGCCCTTGCAAGAAGTCATTACCAAAACTCACACTTATTTTGGTGGCGTCCTTCCCTGTGTCTTCCTGCTGAGATGCTTTTAGCTGTCGGGAGGGAGCGGGAGGGGCAGAGAGAGCAGAGACAACGCGTTAGCATCGCGGGGCGGGAGCACAGGACAATAGCTGAGATTGTAGCTATATGGCAAGTGACGCTCTGGGGTCTGGAGCCGGGCGTCCCTCAGCTCTGTGTCGCCTCGGGGTGGGGGTGAGTCAGAGCCAAGGAAGATAGAGAGGGTGCCGGTCAAACTGTGCAGTGCATTTAGCTGTGTGGGGATGTGGGGGTCTGAGGGCATGGGTCAGCCTGCCTGGGAGGTCTGTTGGCTCGTCAGTCTGTACACTTGTGTCTGTCTGAGTGTGTTTGCACTGTCAGGTGTACCACATCCCTGATCGTGTGTTTGTGGCAAATCCTATCAGAGTCCTGCCCACGTACTGTTCCCTGTAGGCTGACCCCAGATGCTTCCAATCGCAAATACCTGCAAATCTGTGCCCACGTGCTTCCTCTGACCGCCCCCTCCCCCGCCCCAGAGTCCTCTGAACCCCGTGAGAAGGGCTGCAGAGCTGACATAGAGTTCAGTATGTATCTGTGAATATGTTAGAGGCTACTTCACGAACGCGCCAGAATGTGTGCGCATGCCTGGTGTGCACCTGCAGGCCCCTGAGCATTTACATGTCCGTGTGTTCCGTGGGCAGATATGCACGTGTTTGGGTATTAGCTGCGTCCACCACGTGTAAGAATGGAAGCGTCTTAGTTTGGGTTCCCCCAGAAGCAGACCTTGAGACAAAGATTCAAGTGCAATTAGTCCACCTGGGAGGGGAACCCCGGTAGGGGCGTGGGTGGTTGAGACCACCAAGGGGAGGAAGCCAATATAGCGCCCCCCGGGGGCACTGGGGGGTCCCCTGTCCCCTGGGGGCAGCTGGGCACTTCAGGGAGAGAATGCAGGGCTCTGCAGTTACCCCAGCGGCGGGCGAGGTCGCAAGGGCGCGTCCTCCAGGTTTGTCTGCCAGCCCTGGACCGCCTTGCTGACCAGCAGGCTCCACTGCCCAGAGGAAACTCTCAGCAGAGCTGGGAGGGGCTCGCAGTGGGCCTGGTGGCGGGTGTGTGCGGGGCGCCAACAGTGTCTGTTCCAGTGAGTGCGTGCGCAGTGGCTGGGTCGCCCGCCTTGCCCTGTAACCTCTGGCCTCAGTTTCCCCGCCTGCACACGGAAGGGAGGGACTCTGCTCTTCGGAGGGGCTTTCGTGCTCTGGCCCTTCCACGTGCTCAGCCCAGGTCTGCCTCCTGCTCCCGCCCTGGGGGCCGGGGTTCTCCCAGCCTAGCTCGGGGGTCACCCAGGGGGCGGTACCTGGTTCGAGGCCCACGCCTGCTTGTCGGTCCAGTCCCTGTGGCTCCGCACGTACCACCACTGGATCTCCAGCGAGTAGGAGGGGGAGCCGCTGCCGCGGAAGGAGCAGGCCATCTCCACGTCCTCGCCCGTCCGTGCCGTCATGTCGTGGGGCGTCTCTGTGAACAGGGCTGTGCGGAGAAAGTGGGGGAGGAGTGGCCGGGGCTCAGGAGACAGCAGCGCCGGTGGGCCGGCCAGTGGGAATGGCCTGGCTTCAGACGCGGCCCCTGGAGGAGCTTATCCAGGCCAGGGCCAGGGGTGTGGCTCAGCCTCTGGCAGGACACCGACCGCCCCACCCCAGGCGGGTCTCCATCCCAGAGTCCCTGGGGGCAGGGGACAGCCACCCAGGTGAGGGACCAGAGGAGGGCCCGGTTAGAAGGCATGAGCAAGGAGCCCTGGGAGGAAATTGCCATTTTCGTTAATCCTTCCAGATTTTTCTAGTCAGCCCCACCAGTCTCGCTCCCGGGTTATCCCCGACCCCAGAGCACAGGAGCCAGCAGCAGCCTTGCAAGACCAAGTCGGACCTGGCCAGCCCCCCGCTTAGAAGCCACCCGGCTGCCCGTCTCCTCTCTGTCCTGTGAGCGTGCCTCACTTTTGCCCTGACCGTACCCAACGTCTGGAATGCTCTATCCTTGGTCTCTCTTTGCCCAACTGGCTCCTTTATCACTCAAAGCTCAAACTTGGCCCCTCGGAGAGGCCTTCCTTGACCACCCGGGGTAGGATCCCCCTCACCCTGACCTCCTGCCCACCAGGTCACCGTCACATGCGTCCACGGCAGGCACTGCCTGCCCGGCTCCTGGAGAGCAGGGAAGTGGAGCTCCCACTGCCGCTCCCAGCCCCCAGCAGGTGCCCTGTGTGTGTACTGAGTGGGTGGAACATTCTCCATCCTCTGACAGCCCCCCAGGTGCGGTGGGAGCCACACCTGCCTCCCGTCCTTCACGAGGCCTGGCTCCCCATGAAAATCCCAGGGCAGGCACTTCCCCTGACCCAGCAGGAGCCCTGCCCCCCCCCCCCACACACACACCGACAGGTAAACGAGAAAACAAATCCCTGTTTAACGTGGCCGTGCCCCTCCCCACCATATGTTCTGTCTCCTGTCTCTGCAAACGAATACTGTCCGGAGATGCCATTAGAATTCTCTCCTCTTCTCAGGAGGGATTATCTCGCCCTGGCGACATGCAGGTCACCCAGGGAATGTGTCCGTCCCCCCTCTGCCCGGTGCCCCACCTAGCTGCTACGGCCTGCCGGGTCCCCCCACCCCCGGGTGCCGATCTGCCACCACCTAGCCCCAGTGGTCCCTCCAGTGTGTCCCCGGCAGGGACGTGAGGGTCCCGCCCTGGGGCCACGTGCCTCCTGCCCTTCCTCCAAGATTCCAAGGGCTTTGGGAACATCAGGATTGACAAACAGCTCCACCTGCAAGTCCCTGCCTTTTCTGCTGGACACACAGGGTGTCCGTGTGGAGCCTGACTCCGGGAACTGGGTTCTGGGCTCAGATAGTTTGCAAGGTCCCTGATCCCAAAGGTTAAAGGTTTATGAGACAATTCCTGGAGGTTTCCCACATTCTGTGAGGTCGGGGAGGGACTGGCCGCCGCTCCATAAACAAAGCCTGTTTAATAAGAGTGAGTGTTTGCGGGGGGTTGGGGGGGGTGGCGCCTGGATGGCTCACTCGGTTAAGCGTCTGACTCTTGATTTTGTCTCAGGTCCTGAGCTCATGGTTCGTGGGTTCTAGCCCCACATCTGGCTCTGTGCTGTCAGCTCAGAGCCTGGAGCCTGCTTCAGATTCTGTCTCCCTCTCTCTCTGCCCCTCCCTGCTTGTGCTTTCTCAAAAATAAATAAGCATTAAAAATTTTTTAAAAAAAAACTTTAAAATATATATATACATGTTAAACAAAAAGAAGAATGAGTGTTTGAATTACTGCACATGTGCCCAGTGAGGTGTAAGGTGCCTTCACGAGCATTGGGACCGTCCTTATTCCCACGGGGCAGGAGACAAAACCGGGCTCCTGGAGGGAAGGTACTAGGCCATGCCTTTGCCTTTCCAGGTGCCCAGGCCCCAAACTGTAGATCCGTCCTTGACCCCCCCCCCACTGCCTCACCCTGTCTTATAGCCCACATTCAGTCTGCTGGGAGCCCTGTTTCAATTGAAATGTAAATAGCCACTTTTAGGTAATGGCCACCGTGTTGGACAACACAGCTAATACATTTATGTTGTGTTTATTGTCTGCTTTCCCTGGAGGCAAGGACTGTGCCTGTCTTGTGCACAGATATATCCCCAGGTCCTAGAACAGTGCCTGGCACATAGTAGGTGCTCAATAAATACTTTTTAAAAATGTTTATTTATTTTTAAGGGGACATATGGGCAGAGAGAGAGGGAGACACAGAATTGGAAGGAGGCTCCAGGCTCTGAGCTGACAGCACTGAGCCTGATTCAGGGCTTGAACCCACGAACCGTGAGATTATGACCTGAGCCAAAGTCGGACACTTAACCTACTAGACTACTCAGGTGCCCCTCAATAAAGCCTTGTGAGTGAATGAATGAATGAGTAGCAGCGGAGCAGGGTCCAGAGCCAAGAGGTCTGTACCCTGAGAATCCTGGGCCAGGCCCAGCCCTCCCCACCTCCCCTGATGCCAACCTGTTGCTCAAGCAGGACTGAAAGGGGCCATCGAGGCCTTGAGCCACGAAGAGGAGCTGAGAGGTGACCAGTGAGCCCTTGGCCCCTTGTCCTGGGACAGCTGGATTTTGCCTCGATCCAGACCCAGGATCCTTTGCAAGCTGGGGAGAAGTAGGGGCGGATCCAAAGCAGACAGCAGTGGGACCTGGCTGGCCTGAGACTGTGAGAGGTGTGACCTGCAGGTGCCACCGCAGAGCCACAGGAACCAGGAAGTACTCGCCCTTTTCCCTCCCGTGCACGGGGAAAGGGGTCCACAGCTGCTTGGGTCACGCACTAGGCAGGGCAGAGCCAGCCCTCGAACCCCGGCCTGTATGACTCCGCCTCCACGCTTCTCCTCCGCCTAGGCACGTGTGAGTGGGGGAAGTGTGTCTGGCCGACAGAAGAGAGACGGTTCGCAGGGGTCTCATGGTGGCAGGAAGGGCAGAGATGGGCTCTCCTTGGACGGGGACTCCATCGGGGGACCTGGAGAGGGGCCAGACCTCCATCCACGCTCGCTCAGCCTCCCCTGCCCACAGGCCCCCCCAGACTGATCAAAAACCCCAGCCCAGCCCACCAGTTCTTTTTACTGATACAGTAAGCAAGGCTCAGAGAGAGTGGCATCTGGCCTGGGGTTCCGCAGCAGCCAGGGGACAGGAAGCTCAGGCCCCAGGCCCCCTCGCCCCCAAACAGCCTTGGGGGAAGACCCCTCCATCTGGCCATGGGTCCCCTCCCCATCCTAGTAATGGTCCTGTAGAGGGCGCTATCCAGCAGAAACCGCGCACACGCCCTGCTTGTGAGGCAGGTACAGAATTTGTTAATTTTCTAGTAGCCACATCGAAAAAGTTAAAAAAAATTTTTTTTAAACAGATGAAATTAATTTTAATCATGCATTTTATTTAACCCAAGATATCAAAAAAATTATTTCAACATGTCATAGAAATTATTAATAAGACATTTTACATTCATCCTTGTGCTAAATCTTGGCGATCCAGCATGTACTTTACACGATTACAGTACATCTCAATTGAGACAAGCCCTCCTGGCAGATGAATCTCCCCTCCCCCCACCCATGTCCCCACTGCTCAAAGGAGGCAGCCAAGGCCCAGTGCAGGGCAGTGACCCTTCCCAGGCCACACAGCGGAGCCTGCATTTGAACCCAGGCCTGTCTGACTTCCAAGACCATGTTCTTCCCAGATTACTTAAATTCTCTTGGTTGCAGAGGTCTTTCTTAAAAAAGTAACAGGCCAGAGGCACCTGGGAGGCTCAGTCCATTAAACAGCTGGCTCTTGATTTCGGCTCAGGTCATGATCTCATGATTCGTGGGATAGAGCCCCGCATCAGGGTTTGTTTGCACTGACAGTGAGAAGCCTGCTTGGGATTCTCTTTCTCCTTCTCTCTCTGCCCCTCCCCTGCTCATTCTCTCTCAAAAATAAATAAACTTGAAAAAAATAAAGAGTCTAAAATGGCCAACCTCGCAGAGCCCTGCGGGGCAGGCTGGGGACCACAAAGGCTTGGGCAAGCACAAAGGAGGCCTCTCACTCAACCTGAGGCAATCAGGGAAGACTTCCCAAAGGAGGTGCTGGGCTCCCTACCTACCCCCCAGCCGCAGGCGGGGCAGGCGGTCCTGAGCCAGGAGTGGGGAAGGGCTTTGGGCGGGAGGGTGGATAGAACTCTGGCTCCAAGAACTCCTGGAACCAGGTGAGTCATCTGTGGGTGCAGCCACCACCTCCTCCCCCTCAGTGACTCTGGTCCCAGGGTCTCCTGACCCCCTGAGACCCTTCCAGGACCTGCCTTCAGGTGCAGTGGGGGGAAGGCCCCTCAGGACCCCACGGGCTCCAACCTCAGTGGTGAAGGGGCCAATGTGTCTGTCAGACAAGTGGCGAAACCAAGGTTCTGGGCATTTGAGGCAGACTCTGAGTCCCCCTGGTCACGGGCAGCAACACGCGGGGCTGTCCCCCGACCTGCCCCTGAAGGAGAAGCAGTGTATGCGGGTGAGCGCCTGGAGCGCAGAACTGGAACCGGGGACGGAGGATGGAGCCTGTTTCTGCCAACAGACGGGCTGTGTGACCTGGGGGACACCTCTCCCCTTCTCCAAGCCTCGTCTGCCCCTCTGTCCCATGGGGGGGGGGGGGGCGGTCAGGCCTGTGGTCTGAGAAAGCCACCGGCTCAGACAGTCTGAGGGAGAAGGTGATGTGTGTCCTGACAGCCCTGTCCTGGGCACTGGGAAGGGGAGGGGGCGCATGGCAGCCAGGCCAGAAGATGAGTGGACCCTGACAAGCTGAGTCCGGGGGAAAGGAAGGGTGTGAGCCAAAGCAGGAAGACAGAAATCCAGAGAGCTTGGTTGCTGTTGTTCAAAAGAATCCATACCATTTATTAAGCATCTACTCACGCCTAGCACCATGCAGGCACTATCTCTAATACTCTCTAATCCGCTCACCCCCATTTGACAGATGAGGAAAACGAGGCTCAAAAAGATGACA